TCTCCACTTTTTGATTATTCTGAGAAGAGGAGGTAATTTAAGTAAACTGAGGAAATAGACAGTCATAAAGAGCAGAATGGTCAGACAAAAATACCCAGATCATCTAGATAAAGATTAATTCCGATTGTTCTAGCTGACTGAGGCGAAGAAGAGCAGTGAAACAAGACTTTATTCCCCAAGTGGTCTGTTTATCTGATTTTTATCTGCTGAGATTAGAATCATTTCTATATGTGAGGCATCTCACATGTTTTAAGCTTTAAACTAGACTAAGATTTTGAGATATACTGTACATTTTTTAAGTAAATAATTTTTTTAAAAAACAGTTTCTAAGGAAGTGGTGTCCAAAACCACAAGAAGACAGTACAAATCTGTGGTCTGGTTGGTTAAGCAAGGTCATAAGCAAGTGAAATAACTATGACCACTCCCTCAATTTTGTTCCCTTATTCAGAAAGAAAAAGAGAAATTAAATTCTATAACTGCCACTCTTTAAATTGCCAGAAAATTGTATCAAGGACCCCTTGAGACTGATTCCATCTTGTTCTCTCTGAAATCTCCCCTGGGGTTGTTCTTTCTCATCTTGGCTTGGACTTCCCCTGTGTCTTGGATCACAGATTCCACTTCCCATTCCTGTAATGGACTCCCCCTTCCCAGAGTTATCCAATCCAAGAAGCATTTATTAAGCATGTACAATATACCAGGCATTGTGCTGGGCACTGGGGATTTTGTTTTCCAGTCACCTGACACTTTGGGAATTCATTTGGGGTTTTCTTGGCAAGGATTCTGGAGTGGCTTGCCATTTCCTTTTCCAGATCATTTTACAGATGACAAACTAAGGCAAGCAGGGTTAAGTGACTTGCCCAGGGTCACACAGCTAGTGATTGTCTGAAGCCAGATCTGGACTCCAGGCCCTACATTCTATCTACCATGCCACCTAGCTGCCCCAGGCACTGAGGATACAAGGAAGAAAAATAAAAGGTCATTTCCCTCAAGGAATTTACGTTCTGTTGGTAGGGTAATCAACCTGTTGACATTTCTTCCTTTGTTCAACAAGGACCAACTTAGATGTCACCTCCATGAAATCAGTTCTGTCTTCTTCCTCCCCCCTCATTCCCTCAAATGAAAATGGCCCCCCTATGGTTTATAGCCTAGATCTCTCCTTTGCTCTTGTCCCCTTCACTCTTTTTTCAAAATTATTAGTGTAATTCTCTCCCCACTTTATCCCTCCTCCACCTCCCACCAACATTAGATTGTCCATAGAGCAAAGTCTGTGTTGTGTTTATGTGCCTTGCACGTAGTGATGGCCAGCTTTCATACAATGCCTTAGGTTTTGCCAAACATGTTATTTCACATTATCCTCATAACACCCCTATGAGGGAGGTGCTATTATTATCCTCATTTTTACAGATGAGGAAATGGAGGCAGAGAATTGTAAAGTGACTTGCCCAAGATCACATAGCTAATCCCATATCTGAAGTGGAATTTGAACTCACTACTTGCTGACCCCAAATCCAGAACACTGCATTCATTGTACCACTCAGCTGGACAGTAGGTACTTCATTGAAGTTTGTTGTATTCAAGTCCATTCAATAATGTACAAAACACCACCTGGTATAAAGAATGCACAATGTGAGGCCCTGGAGAATACGGAGAGTTTGGATAAAACAGCCACCTTGTTCTCCAGGTGAATTCAGTTGAGTTCCTCTAGTACCAAGGAGAGCTAGGAATTAGGACACTGGACATAGGTTTATTGTCCTCAAATGGCAAATAGGAAAACTGAGGCATGATAGCAACAGGAGCCTGCTGAAGGCAACAGGAACCAGGGAGACAATTGTTAATTTACAACGTGAGCATTTACATTTCAGAAATTAACAAATGCTATAAACCAAAGCTTAATTTCTTTTGTTTATTATCGAGACTTAAGAAAGCGATGCAGAAGATGTTAATAATTCGGATTCATTTGTAAACTATGTACCGTGTACATTTTCTTTTCTGGAGTGCTAATTAAAGACGACAGAACCAGCTAGGTGGCACAGTGATTAGAACACTAAGTGAGAAAGATCTGAGTTCAAATTTGACCTCTAACTTTTAGCAGTTATGTGTCCCACGGCAAGTCACAACCTCTGTCTGCCTCAGTTTCCGGATAATAATAGCACCTACCTCCCAGGGTTGTTGTGAGTATAAAATGAGATTAGTACTTATGAAGTGTTTGGCACGGTTCCTGGTACATAGTTAGGTGCTTAATAAATGCTTGTTTCCTTCCTTAAACATTGACCATCATACCTATGTTAATAACCCTTACAAAATTTATATAATGCATAGCACTTACAAAGTTTCCCTCATTTGATCTGTACAACAACTTTTTGAGGTAGATACGGTTAGTATTAATATCCTCATTTTATTGATAAAGTGGAGGTTCAAAGGTTTTTCCCAAGGTTCACAACTGATAAAGTGAAACGAACTCAAATTCAGGTGGTCTGCTTCCAGAATGAATGCTCTTTCCGACAATACTGAATTTACTCTAGAGAATGATCTTTCAAAGGGGAATTTCAGCCAGTGTGAGACCTGGGATGAGGACTTCCTATGGGGTAAGATGCCTCCCACGTGTTCCTCAAATCAGTTAGAACAGGCTCTTTTGGGATAACAGCATCCCTCACTCACTATATTTAAAACTCTGTGTCCCTATTTTAAACAGCTATAGCTAAGTTCTTCCAAGAAAATTATCAACCTGATGTAAAAGGAATCCTGGGTCCCCCAAAACTATGAATAAAGAGAACTTGACTAATCAAGATGGAAAGGGTTGGTCTCTATCCAGTAATAGCCCATGAGTCTTTCCCTCAGGGATCAACCCAAATAAATTAGAAAAGGCTCATTAACAAAAGATTGGTCACCAAGGGATTATTTTATCCTTCAGCCACAGTAAATTGTAAAAATCATCTTATATCAAGGATATAGAGCTAGATAGTGAATAGAGCACTGGACCTAATGTCAGGAAGACTCATCTCCCTGAGTTCAAAACCAGACTTGAATACTTATTAGCTGTATGACGCTGAGCAAATCACTTAACCCTGTCTGCCTCAGTTTCCCTATCTGTAAAATGAGCTGGAGAAGGAAATGGCCAACCACTCCAGTATCTTTGCCAAGAAAACCCCAAATGGGGTCACAAAGGTTCAGACATAACTAAAATTCAGACTGAAAATAGAGCTGAAAGGGACTTCAGAAATCATTTAGTCAAGGGATTCTTAATCTTTTCTGCTTGATGATCCCCTCTGGCAGTCAGTTTAGAGAAGTTTATAAGGCTGTCTCAGAGTCGCGTTTTTAAATGCATCAAATAAAATACACAAAGGAAACCAATTATGCTGAAACACAGTTATCCATTTTTTAAGTCCATAGATCACAGGTAAGATCCCCTGAGGAAAATCCCCTCACTTTGTGGATGAGGAAGCTAAGGTCCGCAGAAGTTAAGTGACTTGCACAAGGCCTACAGTTAGTAAGCATCAAACTCAACATTCAAACCATGGTCCTGTGGTTCTGGGGACCCCAGTTCGTTTTCCAATAGGTTGTATTCCCTCTCTACTAGAGCATGGAGGGGTGAATAATGAGTGTGAGTAGAGGAAGTGGTCAACACATATTCAATCACACTGTTTTTGATGTATGAACCAAGAGTTAAATAATCTGAGCCCCATGTTATAGTACAGATTGATTCACATATTGTCCTCCCTAAACTTTTTGGCATCTCCATTTAGGGGAACAAGCGAAATAATAATTCATTGCCCTTTGATCAACCTAAAAGTACGTTTTGAGTTCTCTGTCTGCTATAGAATTTTCTTCTTAACGATCACATTTTATTTTATTACTTTAGCATCGTTACTAATCTTTTAGACCAGATCTGTTAACCTAGCCTGTATTTCTAGAGCACTGGTTTCTCCCTTAGGCGTTCCAGACCCCTGATAAGGCTGAGCAGTCACTGCAAAGGGTCTATCAATCCATATTCTCAAGAGTGATCTCAATGACTCATTATGGTCCTGGTGGCTGCTACAGCACTAAAAGTGGTAAAAAGTGCTGGCTGATATTGGTAGTAGGGGTCTGCAAGGCACTTTACAGACATTCTCTCAGTTGAGATTAAAAATGTTCTTATTTTTACTCTCTTCATTTTACATTTGAGGGAACTGACCCTCCGGCTTTAGTGATTTGTCCACAGTCTTGTAAGTATCTGAGGTGGAATTAGAACCCCGATCTTTCTAACTTCAGGTGCTGCCATCTAGCAACCATACCATACTTCCTTTAATAAATAAGCAAATGTGCCTTCTGTCACCTGAAAAAAGACTATCTCATACATCTTGCTATTAAAGGTTTTTGAAATCTATGCCAAGAGGATTGAAGAATAAATTTATTTTAGAACATTACTGAACTCATAGTAGCTTTTTGTCATTATTGGATAGTAATAGTACATGTAATAATTTTAAATTTTAAATCAAGAAATTTTAGCATTAAAAAAGAGCCTTCATACTCTAAAAGGATGATGGTCATTATTTTTATTGTCATTAGATGAAGAGGGGAAATAACTCATCTTAGGTCACATGATGAATTATGGTTGAACTGAGATGAGATTTTGGAATTCTTGACCTGATTAGCCAGAGTTCTACTACCTTCTCTTCTCCCTTAATTCTTTGATTCTAACTGCTAACTATTTAAGCAAGACTTTAAAAGTTTACTTAAACCACGCGAAGCATGAGCCCTAGAATCTCGAGTCAAAGTTTTTACCTCTTCCTCTTCTAGCCACCAGCGGACAGTCCTCTGGAGCTAGGCCTAAGAGTCAGGAGATGAGGGTTGAAATCTCATCTTTGACACTGCCTAGCTGAATAACTTGGGACAAGTCACTACAAGTTGCCACACTTTATTCATCTATACAATACTTGTATTCTCTCCCTCCCACAGGGTTATTGGTGAGGAGGGCGCATGCTATTGAACTGCAAATTGTGATTACAAGCAAGCACCCTTACCAGGGGATCTGGAAGGAGAAAGCCATAATCTTCAGAAATGTGAAACCTTTCAAGACTGAATGGAGGGGATTTTTTCAGTTTCATGTTCTGAGCCTCCAAGTCTCCCACCGTGCTGGTCACATCAGATGTATCCATGGAAACCCCACAGTAGAAAACCTTTCGTCTGTACTCCTAAATACCTGGGCCGACGCAGCTGCAAATCAGAACCTTGCTTAGCTAATGCACAGTCATTTCCCCAGAATGTGGGAGAACCTTGCCCTGGGATTAGAATCTGGACTCTCTGGTCCCATTGGTAGAAATCTGAGTAAACAATTCAAGGTTACTTACTGATCACACACACACATGATCACACACACACACACACACACACACACACACACACGCAAACCAAAATAAACAAATAACACCCTTACCCACCCCCGTACCAACAAGCTCCTTACCAATAGAAACACTCTTTTTCCCTGTCATTCACACTAGGCTTTAAAGGATTTGCCTTTACTGTAGTGTACTGAATAAGTCCTGGATTCAGAATCTGTATAGGTGAGTTGGGATTTCTACTTTGCCACTTAATATATCTGTGCTCTTGGTCAAATCCCTTCCCTTCTTTCTGGACCTCACTTGCCTCCCATGTAGAATGAAGGGGCTGGAATAAATTGTCTCTAATATCTCTCTATCTTGTAGGATCATATGACCCTGGAAAAAGTGCTCCATCTTGGCTGAGGGACCGCAGCAAGACGCCTTCATTTTATCCCCTTGGCATACCGTGCCTGATGAAAATCACAGCTTTTATTCCTATAGCAGGTAACTGTCAACAATGTTCTTTCCTCGTAATAGTGAGTCAGGTCATTCTTATATTCTTATCCCCATTTTAGAGATAAGAAAATTGAGTCCCAGAAAGAAGAGACTCATATTCAGTGACATAACTACTGCTAGAAGAAGGACCTGTAGCCAGGTCCCTGGACTCTGAACTAAGCACTTTTTTCATTATACAACATGACCTCAGTGTTACTTAGAGACTCCCCTGGTTGACATCTTTCTAACTGACAAACCTCACTAGAGTTTGTGCTGAGCCAAGTTATACAAGGGGCTGGATTACAGCTATCAAGTATCGCACTTGTGGACTCAGTGGCGTTCTTAGAATAGCAGAACCCAACGAAGTGTATTATCATTCATAGGATCTTTGATATAGAACTGAAAGTAGCCCTGCTCCCTCATTTTACAGGTGAAGAAACTGAGACTCAGAAAAGTAGAAATCATTTGCCCAGTGTCCTGTGTGTGTGAAGCAGCAGAGCCAAGATTAGAACCCAGTCCTCCAATTCCAAATCCAGACCTCTTTCCATTCCACATAAAAGTGCATCTATAAGAAATAGGGAGAGAAGCAGATGAATAAATATTGATGTATGTCCAGAGAAGCTTCCCCCAGATTTCTGTCAAGGAGGGAAAGAAGAGGCACCTCTAAACGTGCCTTTACCACTTCCCCTTATTCCTCTATTCTCCCAAGAAATTGTTCAATCCCAATAGGGAAACACTCCAGTTTAGCCTGGGTGGTTGAGGGGGAGGAGGTGACACCCAGGGACCTCTGGGGCTCTCACCACATTATGATACTGATCAACTAGACCCAGGTTTGATGCATCCAGAAAGGAACATCTGGGCTGAGTGAGAAGCCTCTGGATAGTCTATGGTGCCCTGGTGAGGTGGGAAACATTAATCACCCTCCATTATCTACTACTAAAGACAATGCAGTTGTTAGTGGAATTGTGAACTGATCCAACCATTCTGGAGAGTAATTTGTAACTATGCCCAAAGGGCTATAAAACTGTGCATATCCTTTAATCCAGCAATACCACTATTAGGTCTATAACCCAAAGAGATCATAAAAAATGGAAAAGGACCCATATGTACAAAAATATTTATAACAGCTCTTTTTTATGGTGGCAAAGAATTACCCTCTATAAAAAGGAAAGAAAGTCATGTAAGAGAGGATTTAGGGGAAATAGTGAGTCAGATAATGAGTTCTGCTTTAGGCATGTTGAGTTTCAGATGTCTCCAAAACATATAAGTCAAAATATCTAATATGCAGGTTGTGTTGTGAGACTAGAGTTCAGGGAGAGGCAGGGGATACAGATGCAAATCTGGGAGTCATCTGAGAGGCAATGACAATGAAACCTTTGGGAGCTAATGACATCACTGAGATAGTATACAGAGAGAAGAGGGTCCAGATATGAATGCTGCAGATCAATCAGCTCCATGAGGACTACCAAACAAGGACTTATAGCTGATCTGCTCACTTGAACACCAGGAAAAAAAACAAAAGGAAGAGAAGAGACTTGCTTTGGCCAGCTAGTATTGTTTGAATAAATCCCAGTACTGACTCAGCAGAAAATCAATAACCCATCTCATCGTCAAAGGGATTACAAAATCTCTGTGTATGCTATAAATCAGGAAGCAGGGTCATTCCACTGCAAGTCACCCTCTCTTTCCAGAAGCAAGATTCCCTAAGTCTTTCACATGGGGATTGCACAAGTCAAGCATGTTGCATGTGCTCATCAGCTCTCTCCCCTATACCAATTATGTAAGTAACCATTTATCATCCCCATTTTAGGGATGAGGAAACTGGGTCTTAGAGAGGTTTAATCTTTCAGCTCTAAAGCCAGGGGTCTTTCCACTACCCCATCTTCCGCTTGTCCTTCTTAAGCTCCCGTGGTTGCAAACCCACAGCACAGCACCCTGTGGTGTCATGGTTCCCTAGTCTAATGACCAGGTTCATGGGATCCTGGGTTTCCTGGGTTTCTTCTTTCTCACGCCCTAAGTTCCTCAGGCTCTCCCACCTGACATCACTTAATCTCCTTGTCACTGACTACATATTCCATTACACAAGTGGGCTTTTCCTAAGGCATTTATCTCTAAAGGAAAAGAGGACCTAGGTAACAATAAAAAGACTGAAGTCATCAAGGGGGTATCTAAAATAATGATCTTTATTTTTTATTTTTATATAATTGACTCATTTTATTTCAGATATTGAATCATTAAGTACTAATTACAATTGGTAATTTAAACAGAATTGAATAAATTAGGATTGTTTGCATCCAGTGTGTACTGGGGAGAATTCTTCAAGATCATTGTTTTATTAATATTTGAAAATGAACTTAATTGCATTTTGTTCTGATGGTGCTAATTCAATGCCAGGAAGAAAATTTAGAATAGCTGCAAAGTTGTTGTGAAGTCTGCTCCTGCTGGACCTAATAAGAAAATAGAATCTTTTCTTCACAGTCCCCACCCCTTTCACTCACTCATGTTCATGACTCCTACCAATTTGGGATTGGCCAAGCCAGAATCTATGGATGAAATTTGTTCACTGTGTTTATCATATCAAGCTTAGCTCAATCAGGAAGGTATTGAACCCATGGTTGCCTTTGTTGCTCCAATCATACCTTCCCAACTAACCACTGTCTAGCTAAGCCACTGTCCAGCCCCTCCTAAAATGGGGAGCATCACATGACGCAGATTATGCAATCATAGAGGCATGAAATCAAAGAAACAAATGCCCCATTTTTGTCAGAATCCCCAAATTTCATTTATTCTAAAGAACTTGAATGCTGTAATGGAAGAAGCACCAGACTGTGAGTCAGGCAGGGGTGTACTGGAGCCTGCTCAAATTAGTCACAAGAGCCAGTTGGTTTTTTTTTTCATTTTTTGTATGATCATTTACACCTCAGAAATTGGCAAACTATAAATCAAGGATTGATTTATTATTTGGTTGACTGTCTAGGCTTAAAGTGATAAAGAAAAAATGTTAATAATGTCAATTATCCTTTAAAAGTATGCTTTTTGTTTTTTGAGAACCAACTGAACATTTAACAGCACATTAATGGAAGTGAGAGACATGGGTTTGAGCCATGAAACTGCCTTGCTGGGCTACCTTGATCAAACCTCTTTCCCTTCCTTACCCTCAGTTTCTGCATCTATAAATTAAAGGTGTGTGATTTGATCTCTGAGGTCTCTGTCAATCTGAAAAATCTCTCTGGTTCTGTGACCTGAGTTCGAGTCCTACCCCAGCAACTCACTGTGCAATATTGGATAAATGACTTGCCAATGTTTCCTTAGAATAAGAGTGTTGGACTAAATCAAGAGTCTACAAACCATGACCCAATCTGGCCCCTGACCAACTAAGAATGTTGGGTTTTGGTTTTGCCTTTTTTTTTTTTTAATCCCTTGTCTGGGAGGCAATGAGTGCACAAAAAAAAAAAAGGCAGTGGTAGGCCATATTTGGCCCATGGGTGGTAGTTTGCCAATCTCTGGATTAAGTGATCTCTGAAATTCCATCTACATCTGCCAGTCTATGAATCAATGAGAAATAGAACTACTCTGCTGCCTATTAATCTAATCCTATAGCTCTTTTTAGGATCCAATCCAATGTAATCTAATTTAATCTCATCCAATCTAATTTATTATATAACAAACATTTATTAAGCATTGTTATCCTTCCAGTCGAGATAACTTGTGAGAGAAACATTTTAACTAGACTTGTAGCACTATGACATAGAAACATTTTTAAGGGGATGAGACAAACTCATCGTGTTATTCCATGACCTACTTGAGGTCATAGGATCATAGACACTGACATTTTTAGAGCGGGAAAGGATTTTTTAGTTACTCCAGTTCAAAGCCTTTATTTTAGGGAAGTGAGGAGCCTGAGACAGAGAAAGGGGAAGTGACTTGCATAAGGTCAGAGATAATATCACAGAATGTTAGCCTTAGAAGAGGCTACAGAGCTCATCTAGTACAGGCTCTACCCAAGCAGGAGTCTGCCCTATGATATTCTGATAAATAGCCATTCATTTATCTTCCATTTGAAGGATTCCAGGAAGTGACTACATTCCAAGACAGCCCATTACACTACTGAACAACTCTATTAGGGAGGTCTTTTTTCCCCCTACACAATAGATTTAATTATATCACACAACTCCCTCACTCCCAATAAACTACACTAGTTTCCTATTACCAATGGGATCAAATATAAGCTCTTCTTTTGGGCTTTTAAAGCTGGCTCCCTCCTTTCTAGTCCCCTTAAGCTTGGCCCCTCCCACTCCCTAGATTCTATGATCTACTGGTTTACTAGCCGTCCCTCCCACACTAAGCTCCATCTCCCATTTCCACACTTTTGAATTGGCTGCACCCATGCCCAGAATGCTATCCTTGCTTATTTCTGCCTCTTAGATATCCTGGAGTCCTTCAAGTCTCAGCTCAAATCTCATTTCTGCAGGAAGCCTTTCTCTGTCTCCTAGTTACTAGTTCCTTCTGCTCTAAAATTACCTCCCATCTACTCTGTATATATCTTATATGTATCTTGTTATTTACATGTTGTCCCCCCCTACCCCCGCTGGAATGTAACCTCCCTGAAGGCAAAAACTATTTTTTTTTCTTTTGTTGTATTTTCACTGCTCTGTGCAATGCCTGGTACATAATATGCTCTTAAATGGTTCTCACATGATAGTCTCCAATACCATCATCATCTTGATTGCCCATCCCAGGACCCTTTTCAGGTTACCCATGCCCTTCAAATGTTCTTCCTTTTACCACCAACAAACCCCCAGGACTTTGCTCATTGGTGCCCCCTATTTCTAGATGATACTACATCTTCTGTCTTTGAACCAAGTCCTAAAACACAGACTGGTCTTTGGGGCTAGCATAGGCATCATCTTAGCCATATTTCCAGGAAATAACAAAGTATGCTTCTTTTAGATATATTAAAGGGGTATTCCACAAATCACCATAAAGTGCCAAAAAACAGGTTTAATAAC